TAATTTGCTGCAATTTTGTTTAAAGTTCCAGACAACTGTTAGCCTATATATTTGTTAGATTGCTAAACTAAAAAAATGATCAATTATGTAATGTACATTAAAATATTTATTTTGACACAAGTAAATACTTGTGTACTTAAAAACTCAGTATGTAAACAGTACAGAAGAGCCTTTGTCAAATGCCTTTGTCTCTCTCCAGAGCTGGCTGCTCCCATAAGACTGACGGCGGCAGGTGTGGTCAGTCCCTTTCTTTCCCTCCCTGGCCATCGGTTCTGCCCTCAATCACCACAAATCTAATACTGGCAGAGAAAGTTCTAACTGTTCTTAGCAATAGGTAGTCAGTCACTTACTTTACACTAAGACAGGAAGGACTGTTGATAAAATATCTTTGAGGGTCAGCCAGTGGCACTGAAGTCACTTTCAGTCCAGAGAGCAACCACAATTCTTTAACATTAAAGATGTAAATTATGGGGAATTCATCGAACTAATATTAAATAGAGGCTTTGTCACCTTAAAAATTAAGTGGTTGGATCAAAAATTCCAAAATCCATATTTTAAGCAGTGTCAAGTTTACAAGATGCTGTAATTTAAGAAACCGAGTTCTGCAGTGAACAAAAACATCTGTTGTATCTAATGACTACTTTCTGAATAACAAAATGGTGCTATTTATTTTGAGAGGCAATTATGATGTTTCCTGTGACAGAAATATATAGATATAGATTCTTACATTAAATTACATGTTAACTATCTGAGGTTTAATGATAAATGTATTCCAAAAACAGAAACACTATGCAAAACTTTTAGAATTGTTCCATGTGACTAATCTCTCCCTTTTACTGTTGCTTTGGGTAAGCATCCAAAGAGAATCCTTGTGAAGAGCACACCCACACCATATATTTTTTTGCAAACACTTAATACTTTAATTCTTGAACTACCAAGGTCAAGAAACAGTCACTAGTTAAGGCAACAGATTTTTAATTCAATTAATTGGCATAGAGCCTTGGATGAACCTCCTTTATTGAACAAGGAAATGGCCTGCTATCTTCTGCTATTCTAACGTTATTGTTTTGAAAAGATAGATCTTGGGTAAAGATATATGGAAAGAAGTCAACCTACTGGGTTCAATCTACTGGGGGAAGGTGGGGAGAACTTCTTTAAAAATTGACTTTAAAAAAACTATATAAGTTTTAGACTAATGAAAACTTAGCCCAATTGATAGATCTTTAGAAAACAGTAGTGGAAAGAGTAACTCAAAAACTATCAAATGAAAACCAGGCCACACTTCCACAATGTGTGGATCATATTGTTTTTGTTTAACTCTTCTGAATTTTATATACTGTAGGTTATTTTCAAAATTTTAATATATCCTAATTATTAACTGAAGGAAAATTAACTTTCTGGTTTTTCGATAGAGTTGTGGAAAGCTTTCCACATTCTTAAATATGGCTTCACTACATTTTGTTAAATTTTGTTTGGAAAGATAGATTTCTGATCTTAAAATGAAAACCAACAAAAAATATAGCTCACCATAATTGTGCTCACTGCAAACTTTGCTGAAACATGTCTTCATTTGTTTAGTGAGGGGCATTATATATTCTCTATATACGAGGGGGACCCCAAAAAACAGAATTATATTCTGCAAGGTGGACGGGCCCCTAATAGTACAGGCTTCCCCAGCTAGGTGAGTGTTCTAGGAACCCATCTGTATCAGTGCAACAGCTGGTGTTGTTGTGAGAGGCTGAGTTCAGTTTAAGTGAAGTTTTTTTGAAGACTCCTTCAATCCATTTGTCCATTCCATGATGAGTGTTTACCAGCACACCTGCCCATAACACGCTGAGTGTTCAGCAGTGTTTGACCAAAATGGCATGACCCCTACCCTCCCTATTCTCCCAATCTCTCCCAGAGCAACTTTTTTTCCCCCCTGGATGAAAAAGTCCTCAAAGAGAAATGTTTTGCCAGCATGGAGGAGGTGAAACAACGGCAGAAGCACTAAAAGCCATCAAATCGGCAAGTACAAAACCGTTTTGAGTGGTGGAAAAAGCATCTTGATAGGTGTATTGTATCAAATAGAGAGTACTTTTAAGCTGACTGAAGTTTAAACATGTAAGAATAAATACATAATTTAGTATAAATAAATTCTGGTTTTGGGGGGTCCCCTCTCGTACATGTATGCACTAGCTATCTTTAAAAAGTAGCACAGGTGCTCTTTGTTTGAAAACCAGTCCTATCCACTCCTTGACTCTTACAAGTTAAATTGGCAGAGGATTGTAAATTTATCAGAGAAACATATGACTTAACAACCATTCCAGATCATTCAATCAAATCATTTTTCCACAAAACATTAAGAACTGCGGTTAATTCCATAGCCTTTCTCTTTATTCCTAAAGAATGGAAAACACCAAAACAATCAAGGCAGCAGAGCTAATTTGTTTGGCATATAAAGTTAGCATACCTTATATCTAAATTGTCAAATGCACCAAGTGGAGAGAGGCTGAACCACCTTGTCCCTGAAGATGATACACCATTTGAGGCCAAATGTGTGTATGTGTATTAGTTTTTATTTTCCTACTGACCCTTTGACTGCAATTCTTCCATTTTTGTTTTAACTGTGATAAAAACCACAGTTAAAATGGTTTTAAAATGTGGTAAAAATTTCTCTTCGGAAAGACATTCAACTTCTTTCTTTTGTTAAACAACCTTTTATGTGTTTCCTGGTCTGTCTTTGTCCTATCATCTTGGTTCTAGGGTCAGGAATGAGGACACTTTCCTTTCAGGGACCATGGTTCAAAACGTCACCCCTGCCTCAGCAACAGAGAACATCCTCATCTGGGATTCCCTAGGCGTGTACCCTTGCAACTCACTGAGGATCCAAACGCTGAGGGTTACACCCATCGCCACGCGGGAAAGAACCGCTAAGTGAGCCCCCAAGGGCCTATCAAAGATTAGAGCTCCACTGTCACGTCCCCACCTGTAAGGGAGGGGGCCTCAGAAACACCCCTCCTCCGCCCTTTCCACAGGTCCTGCGGCGGCGACCTATGGGCGCTCGGGAAAGGGCATTCTTTGAGCAACCCTCAGTCAGGTGGCTCTGAGGACCGCGGTCAGCGCACTGGGGTTGGCCTCCCGCCGAGGGCGGCCTCCCGCCGAGGGCAGCCTCCAGCTGGGCACCCCTCTCTCGGGCCCATCCCGCCCCGCCCCGCCCCGCCCCGCCCGGCCGCGCCGCGCCCCGCCCCGCCCCCAGCTACGCCCCAGCTCCGGGCAGGCCGGTCAGCGCACGCGCGTCGGTGCGCCCCGCTAGCGCGCCCTCCCAGGCAACGCGCTCCGGCCAGGTCGACTCGGGCGCAAATTTGTGTGATAGCTGGGGCGGGAGGGATGCTCCAATTTGGCGTGAAACAGGCGTGAGTGAGTTAGCACCTCCCGGAGACAACCTAGACTCCATTTTATTTCCTCAGAAACTGCGAGGTGGGCGGGGGACCGGCCGCAGGGCGGGGTTCCTCGAGCAGGAGAAGAGCGAGACCGTTAGGCTGGAACACCGGGAGACTCTCCTGGTAGCTCCTGGCCACCACCCGCGCCGGAATAAAAGCCTCTCGCGACTTCCCGCCCAGGCAGCCTCGCTCTGATTGGTCACCATGGGAGGCACTGGAGTAGGCTGGACGCGGCAGCCCAGCGCTGCTCCCCGCTGCCTGGGGAGGGGGCGTGCTAGGGTGCTCCCGGGCCCGCCCGGGGAGCTCCCTAAGCCAGGCTCGGCCAACTCAAGCGACCCCTGGGAGCGGCGACCGCAGCGCACAACTCCCTTAGCCGGGCTTTCCTGGGGTATTTCCCAGCACACGCCCCCCGCCGAGAACGTCAGCCCACCCCACCCTAGCTCTCTCAGGTCCCGGTTCCTTTTCTTCCCTCTTCCCGTCCATCCGCGCTTAAGCACAAATCCTGGGGTGGGGTAGGAGAAGCAGCTGGAGGGAAGGGTAGGCACGCACGTAAGAATCTTCCTGGGAGGCCGGTATGGAAACACCCAAAACGAAAAGAATCTTTATGCCGGCTGTGGAGGTTCGCTAGGCGGCGGCCCAGCCCCCGCCACCCATGGCAGCATCACTACTGTCTTCCTCCCGGCTCCCTATTGTTCGCACTTTGCAAGATCTGGAACCTCATCCAGAGAAAGGAGACTGAGGCGAAGCGTTTCGGGGGTCTACCTGCCATTCTTCTCTCTTATCGTGCAACACAGGGCTCTGGGTGCGTGTGAAAGCACACGCGCGCACACACGCGCACACTAGACAGCCTGGATCACGCCCTCCTCGCCCTCCGCCCCTCCGCATTTCCTCCTGTCAAAACGCGGCGCTGGACCCTCCCATCCCTTCGAGCTCCAGGCCGAAAGCAGGCTTTGCAACTAACCAGCAATTTGGCAAATGAAAAACTAACGTCATATCGACGGGGGTGCAACACGGCCACACAGTCCTGAGATTCTGCCCATGTCGCCCCATTTTGCAAACCGTTATTCGACCCCGGGCAGAGGGTGGCAACGGCGGCGAGCCCCACTTTATTAGACCTGGGGAAATAACGATCGGGTGGCTACTCCGGCTTTATTGTTCACTCTTCCCAGAGCCAGAGCTGACAAGCCCCTGCCCAGCAGAATCTGAGCCTGTGCCGCGGCACCCTAGAGCCTCGCCATTCGTGCTGCCCGCCTTCGGGGAAGGAGCGCTACCCATCACTGCGCGGCCGCCAACATCTCTGAGAGCAGGCGGCTCCGATCACAGCGCCCGGGCACACTAAGTGGGAAGGGCGGGCACGCTGGCAGGGCGCTGGAAGCTCGGTGCACAGGGAGGCAGCCCCGGAGGGTGAGGGGTTCGGCTGGACGGCTAGGGCGATGCGCTCCTTCCTCAGCTCCACGAAAATGATCACCCTTAGCATTCTCCGAAAAAACACCGAAATAACAGTGTTCCTAGGGGGAGTAGTAGGGAGAAGAAGGCAATTAGCAAATCAAATTGAGAAGAAGAATTTTTTAAATGTACCTGCAGTTCCAAGGAAAAACAAAGTCCAGATGAGATCCTTAGTTTGCAGCATTGTAATCTGCTGGCTGGGAGGGATGTTCTTGCCGCGGTAAATTCTGTGCCCCACCTTATAGCGAGTGTGGACGGCGTTAGAGCAACAGACCTAGGGGCAGACAATTGCCAGGCTGAGTATGATTATTTTTGCAGAATTGTTTTCTGCCAGCCGCTGCCGAGCTGCGTTCACGCGCTGAGCGGAGAATGAGTGACAGTCTCAGCCTCAGCACACTCGCAACTCGGAGATCCTTGCGCTGGCCCGGGTTCGCTTTGATGGAACCGGGGATGGGAGAGGGGGGCGGAGGGCGGGGGTGAGAACCTCACTGTGTCCTTCCACCACGCCGGCCACAAATAGTGCCGAACATCAAGGAGGTAAGAGACAGGGGAGGCAGATGCGGCCGCCTGCAAAACGCGGCCTGGAGCAACCTTCAGGAGGAAGCGAGCTCTTTCATGCGCAGTCTTAGGGGCAGAGCTGGGATTTTTTTTTCCCACAGTTCTCCCCCACGCCTCCGCAGTCTCTCCTATCATCCAGCCTTCCTTAATCAGGAGGTTGGATATTTTAATAACTAGCAAATAATAAAAACAAAGCCGTATGTTTTGTTAGGTTTTTCGAAGTTGTCGAATCTCTCAGATCCATAGATCCTTGAAACACAAGCAAAGGACTTAATTTTTTTTTAAGTACAGAAAATTAGAAATTAGGAGAGGGATAGGTATTGCTGTTGCAACGTTTTGTTTAGGTTTTGCTTGTTTGTTTGTACTAACTAGGAAGTTTGCTCTCCCACAGAGAGGCAACAGAGGTGGGAAGCAACTTAAGTTAGAAGAAAACGCAGATATTTAGAAGGAATTTCCAGAAATAAAGGAAGGAAAATGTTTGTTTATAAATGTCGAAACCTGTGGTCTCTTCATGAAGATCACCAAACCTATTGTGTAGGTTTTATGGTATAGGCACGATGTTATTTTCCTACAAAGGCACACAACCTCAGTTCTTAAAAATATTAACATAGAATATCACCGAGGTGCCAACATAAAGGGTTTCAGTGAATCTTACAGCTGTATTTTGAACAGAAGAGAATGAGTGGAGAAGCAGGATGAAAATATAAACATGTCTGAGCACTTGAGCAAGGCTTGAGTGTTTAAAGAACAACAGGTGAGGGGGAAGCCGGAGCTCAAATTGTTCTACAGGCTGAGCCTATTAGCCTAGAAGAGTGAAGCTTCCCTAGAGGAAGGCTGCCCACCTTCCAGGCACCATTGCATCAACATTACCATGTACTCACTTTTTCTTTAAAGGACAGGCTCTCCACTGCTGTACCTCTCTTTCAAAACCCACCCTCTGCTGTCCTGCCAGCCAGCCTCCATTACTGCAGAGGCTGGCACTGCCTCTCCAAGTCCTAGACCAGCAGACCACACTAGTACACTGCTGACTTCCAACTGTACAACCTGTGAAGAGCGTATCTCCTGGTAAATCAATCTTTCATAATGTTTACTTTTGTAATACTTATCACATACCAATTATAAAAGATAAATACAGAGAAATAGAAAGAAGACTCCAAATGCCACAGATTCCAGAGGTATCCATAGATTTTCTGTCTTCAGTATATGGGTGTGATTTTTTTATGTGTAATTGACAGTATGGTAGCAATTTGAATCCTATTTATTTTCCCTGACATTTCATTATAAGCATTTCCCCAGGCCATTAAAAAGGTTTTTGAAATCTTTTTATAGACATATAATATTTTTATATCAATGGTTATGGTCTTCCATTGTTGGATATTTAAGATTGTTTCCAGAGTTTCATAGTACAATTAATGCTTTTTAAACATCTTTCAATAAAAGTTTATTGAATACTACTATGGTTTGTTTAGCCCTGTCCTGGGTACACTGGATTATACTGATTTTTTTTCAATGTACTTAAGTATTACTGGCTTCAGATATGAGCTTCTGCTGATGTGTAAAATTATCATAATAAGCCTTAAAAACTTATGTAAATAAGTATTGGATTCTTTCTTAAAGAAGAGATTTTGCTATCAGGGAAAAACATACACAACAGGACTGAGGGGAAGGGAGTGAAGGGAAGATTGGTATATCCAAAATATTTATAACTTTTTTTCTAACCTATTTCTAATTTTTACCAAGAGTGAGATACATGTCTTTCTCTGCAAACCTAAAAAATTTCCCACTATTTTTTTCCTCAAATACCTCTATTTTTGGCTTTTCAGTGTAAGCAAGTGTGGAAATCCTCTCTCACTTCAGCACGACTGAATTTCACCTCTCTCTCTCTCTCTCTCCACACTGATTTTGAGATGTTTGAAGGATATCCAAGTGAAGATGTGCATAAGACCAACAGTCAGTGAAGGGGACTCCAGAGAACATCATTGTTTAAGCTCTGGGCCAAAGGAATTGCCAGAGCAATAGTGAAATCAGAGTCAGAGAGATAGAAAAAGAAATGAAACATTATAATGACCAAATCTAAAGAAGAAGAAAGTTTTGAAAGGATCAAATAAAATGACGATTTCCAAGTTTCCTGGAATTGAGTGTTGAAAAGCCATTAGTGGCCTCTGAAGAGAGCAGCCTTCCATGGTGCTCTCTTTCTTAGGGAGGGAAGGGAAACATCACTGTCCCAGGAACAAAGAGGTAGCTTGGCCAGGGAAGAGAAACAGAGGGTTACACCACTCTTTCGAGGGACAATGAGGTCAGTGCAGACTAGTATGATAATGACAAGGATAGAAAGGCAAGCTTGAGGGGGAAGGAGCCTTGCAAGGTTTTCTTTTTCTCTTCTCTTTTAACATGAGGATTTTATTGTTAGGCTGTAAATTAGATCAGTAAACTCCCTACAACCTTATGGTCTAATTTAGACTATTTAAAAAATGAGCTTAGTCAAAAGTACCCTTGCTGATATTTCCCCCCATTTAGGGTTTCTTCCTGTTGGTGTTGAAAAGGAGACCCCAGGCCTGATCCCAAAACTCACAGATATCCCAGGAACTTGTTTTCACATTTGACACAAGCAAAATACATTCAGGAAAATGCAGCAGTGTAAGGTTAAAGCAAGAGGCAATGACCTGGGATTAGGAGAGACAGGGATGCAGAGACCTGCCCAAAGAGCTGAGCATGATCCATGGAAGTGGTAGGACCAGAAGGCAATGTCAAGACCACGGAGCTAAAGAGTGAAAGACTCTAGAGAGTCTTCAGAGCTCCCTCCTAGCCTCTCATATCCCAGATCTTGTTGACCCCAGAAATGACTGTTGAGGTCTACTGCATGGTGGGGCTGAGGAAACTGACATTTCTCTTCCTGTTCAAGGCTGGCTCAGGTGCTAGTTAAGGATACGTTGGACACTCATCAACTGGTCCTGCTGAATGGTGCTGGGGATCCCCCAAACAGAAGAATGGAACAGGGTCAACTAAGAACCAGTGCCTCTTTGTGCCGGTTGTGTACTGCACAGCTTAAAGGGGTGCCTTTCAAGTCCCTCTCACCATATATGCATATAATTTTTTATGACAGTTTTTCTGGCAGGTGGAAGCAAAGAATCGAGAAAGGAATGCTGGTTTCTTATCCTGCCTCCCTCCCTTCCTCCTTCCTTTTTTTCCTTTCCCTTTCTCCTTCCCTCCTCCACTTCTTCCCTCCCTTCTTTCCTTGCTTTCCTTACTTCTTTCTTTTATTTTTCAGGGGGTTTTTAAGGAAGTGGGTTTTCAGGGGGTTTTCAACAGTTGAAAGCACTTACTAAAAAAACCCTAAAAAATAAAGGTTGGAAAGAAGGTGAGGTTGAGCTGCAATGCAGGCACAACAAAACCTCCATCAGCCCCTTGGAAGCTGTGAAACTGGTCATAACATCCTCACATTGAAGAGTCATCGGATCTAAGCAGTCCTGGGAATGGAACCTGACCTCGAGGCAGCTCTCTCCAGCCAAGGACAGTTTCCAGAGACTAGGAGCTGAGAGCATCACAACATCTGGGTGAGTATGACCCCAGTTTTGAGTGTGGCATCTGGGCAGCTTTGCACAGCATCCATTACACAGTTTTAGCTGTAAATAAAAATATAGTTTCTTTGAAGGTTACATTTTTCTTTTTTATTGTGATAAAAAATATACATAACAAAGTGTAGCTTTTAAGTGTGCACTCTGTGGCATTAAACATGTTCATATTGTTATGCAACTATCATCACTATCTCTGGAACTTTTTACCTTCCCCAACTCTGTACCCATTAAACAATAATTCCTCACTCCCTCTCCTCCCATAGCTCCTGGTCACCACTGTTCCACTTTTCTTTTCTTTTCTTTTATTTCTTTATTTATTTATCTTTATTTTTATTGTTGTTCAAGTAGAGTTTTCTGTCTTTTCTATGAACTTGAATATTCATTACATCATACAAGAAGAAATATACATTTGTCCTTTTGTGATTAACTTATTTCACTTAACACAATGTTTTCGAGTTTATTCTAAGTTGTAGCATATGTCAAATATTCCATTACACATATATACCACATTTTGTTTATCCATTCACTCATCAGTGGTCACTTGAGTTCCCTCCACCTTTTGGATATCGTGAATAATGCTGCTATGAATATGGGTGTACAAGTATTTCTTTTGAGACTCTGCTTTCACTTCTTTTGGGTATGTACCCCAAAGTGGAATTGCTGGGTGGTATGATAATTTCACATTTAATTTTTTGTGGAATTGGCAGACCATTTTACACAGTGGCTGCATCATTTCACATTCCCATCAGCAACACACATGTATTTCAGTTTCTCCACTGGCCAACGGTTCTTTTCTTCTCTCTCTCTCTTCTTCTTCTTCTTTTTTTTTTTTTTTGATAATAGCCATCCAAATGTGTGTAAAGTGGTATCTTGTTGTGCTTTGCATTTTTTCTAATGTGTAGTGATATTGAGCATCTTTTTTGTTTGCTTTTGGCCACTTATATATCTTCTTTGGAGAAATGTCTGTTCAAGTTCTTTGTGTATTTTTAATCAGGTTATTTGTTTTGTTGTTGTTTTTCTTAAGTTGTAGGAATTCTTTATGTATTCTGGTTAATAGTCTGTCATCGGCTATATAATTTACAAATGTTATCTCCCATTCCATGGGTTGCTTTTTCACTCTCTTGATAGCATCTTTTAATATACAAGTTTTTTAATTTTGATGAATGCCAACTTGTCTATTTTTCCTTTTGTTGCTTGTGCTTTTGATGCCATATCCATGAAATCATTGCCAAATCCAATGTCATGAAGCTCTCCCCCTATGTTTTCTTCTTAGAGTTG